GTGTGCGCCTTGTTGTTTTGTTCACCTTTCCTCAAAAACTGCTTCCTCTTCTCTCCAGGAAGCGAGTGCTGCCTGAGACAGGCTGACAACAGCGGCAAACTCCTGCCCCCAGGTATGCCTGCACAGCTAAGATCACTTTATTGGCCATGTACAATTTCTTGCATTAGGAATTTGTCTTTTCACATACCACGGCTTGCTCTCCATGAGACACACAGGCGAGGAGAGAGAAGCTTGGGATCAGAGCACAGGATCAGTCATTTATATGGCACCCCTGGAGCAGTTGGGGTTAAGGGTCTTGCTCAGGGGCCCAACGGAGTAGGATTCCTCTTCCAACCGTGGGATTTGAACCAGCAACCTCCCAGCCACAGGCGCAGATCCTTAGCCACAGTGCCACCGCTCCGCGAATACTAAGAAAACAGCGTGCCCCATCAGTGGGCTCGCTCTTGCTTCTGAGTTGAGTTCTGCACGAGCATGAAAATGAAGCCTGAACCCGGCCTATACCCGAGACCTGACCCAACCAAGCCCGAATGGTACTGCCCTTTCCTCCTCGCCCAGCATTGAGGGTTCGGATGTCCTGGGACCCGCCTAGCACCTGCCTAGCACCAGGCCACACCTGAATAAGGCTCCACGGCCAAAACGTTGTTCTCTTTCTTCTTTTTTTCAGCATGGAATAAACCTATTACTTGTTCCTTTGCAGCCTACGCATGCTTGACGCAGCTCCCTACCTGAACTACTATGGTTGCAACAGGCTGAGAAGTGGCACAGAATTAAAGTAGCTGAAAATCACAGTGCTGTAGCCTCAGGTTCTGTTCCGAACCTGTGGTGCTGTCTGTGTGGAGTTTGTTTGTTCTCCCCATGTTCATGTGGGTTTCCTCCTGGTGCTCTGGTTTCCTCCCACAGTCCAAAGACGCACAGGTAGATGAATTGGCTCCTGGGAAAATTGTCCCTGGTGTGAGTGTGTCTGTGTGTGCCCAGTGCTGGACTGACGTCCTGTCCAGGTTGTATCCTGCCTTGTGCCTATTGCTTGTCTGGATAAGTTCTGGCTCCCCCTGTTACCTTGTATTGCATAAATCGGTTAGAAAAATGGAGGAATGGATGGAAAATGATGGCGATTGTTGTGATGTGTCGCATGCTGTTCTGTTGTCCCCACAGTGCGGGAGGATATGAGTATCCGTGAGGCAGGGGTGAAACTGATGAGCACTTTGTCCCTTTGCCCAGGCCCAGCACCTGGACCACATCAGGTGGGTCTCCCCGGACACATTGAATACAAAGCTTGCAGAATCTGAAATAATTTGAAAGATTTACATAGCCCAGATGGCTAAAGATAACGAAAAGTAAGCCATTTTCTTGAGCCCAAGGAGGGCTTGATTTAAGTTTTTAACACTTAGATTCTGGAGGAATATTAACAGAGAATAGGATGCTCTTTTGCCACAAGACCAGAGAAATTTTAACAGAACCTTTTATAGTTCAGTTAAAAAAAGCTGTCCATGTAAAAACAATATTGGGCACTGCTATTCAGATTTCACCACATTTAGCATAAAACATTACAAATTTAAGAGTTTAAGCTTTTTAAACTGCTGGAACAGCAGTGACTTTATAAGGTATATAATTTTGTCTGAGGCACTGCAAATAATTTCAGTTAAACAAAAGTGCCGAACAATGTGGTAATGTCCAACACAACTCCGTCCCCTGGTATTGAACCCCAATGATTTTGTTAAAATAGAATTGAAAGTGGGGAAAATTAATAACATCAAATGATACATACATACATACTTCAAATAAACTATTAATCACCCAAATAAATTAGCGAAAAAACACTTGGTGCTAGTCAATGTGGCAGTTGTTGGACGCAGTATAAACTAGGGTAGGTGTCTCTTGGGGATGTTTTCAATTGTTTTCCTTTTATGTAGTTTCACACTAGAGTAAGACTTCAGGATCTTCCTAATAAAGATCTTGAAAAGAGGGCGATTTAAATAAGCCTGTGCAGTCAGGTGTGAAGATCAGAGTTCTTAACATGAGTTACAGAATGTTGATTTTTAAGATGTTTAATTAAAAAGCTTCTCTTTTAATGGCCAAAGAACACACCTGGCAGCACCGTACCCCTGCGATAGCTACATAGCTAAATAGATACATACTTTATTAATCCAGTAAGGGAACTTGCAGTGCATCAGCAATTAGGCACAATCAACACAGCACAGTACAACTTAATACTGCAATAATACATTTATACAATGTACAAAATACAAAAATACAGTCAGTAAGAAATGCAATAAAAATGGAGTATAGAGAATTGCACACAATACAAAATAAACCAGAATGTACAGTGCATAAAGAAAATGTATCGCACAGTATAGATGTATGGCACAATCCACAAGCATATTACACAAGTGTAAATATATATGACACAATTATAGATAAATTACTGCGTGCGTGCGTGCGTGCGTGCGTGCGTGCGTGTGTGAAGGAGGATAGGATAGTCTGACCAGGGCTTGTTGCTGTGATATGCTCTCCTTGCTTGTGTTGCAGCTGTTTCTCTACTTCACTGTTGGCACAGATCCTCCAGCTGGGCCAGAGATGGAGATAATCGTTGAGGACACAGTCACTGTTAAAGAGGTAGGGGGCAAAAACTATACCTCACCATTCCCAGCATTTTGACTGGCGAAAAAAACTGGCCAAGCTTTCTTGACATTAACTCTTCTTATTGCAGTGCCTGAAGCTCATGTTGAAGAGGGCAGGACTGGAAGGTAAAAAGAAAACTGTTTCTGATGTGCAATTCAAATGCGTTGAAATGAGTCAAGAGTTTTTTTTTTTGTGTGCGATTTCTAGCCCTTAGTTTTCTTCTTCCCAAAAGATATCAGTCGGCTAAGAATGCCTTCATATGGGCTTCTCAACATAATTCTCCACAGGGCCAAAGTAGTAATATATTATGACTTGTTTCACAAGGTCTTCTGTAGCTTTTCCACAGACACTTTCGTATTTATAATGCAAAAACAGATTATGTGATTTAAAAGGATTGTGTGATGTCTTTTGCAATTATGTCTTATGCCTCAGCACTCTTCACTTATTCTAAAATACCGATGTTGATGTGCCTGTGTGTATGAAAGTTTTTATTCTTTGCAGGGGAATGTTGGCACCTCAGAAAAGTAGATTGGTGCTATGAAATTGGTGAGCCACTTAATGAAGAGGTGAGTACATACGTCATGGGTTGCTGAAGTAGCTGTTTATTCTTTAGCTGTTTTTACACCCTTCACTAGATGGAGAGAAAGAGATGAAGTATTTTCACTTTTTAGTTTATTCTGATGACTGTTCATGTTCAGTGAACTAATCTTGAGCAATATGTTAGCTCAGACAGTGTGTTCTTTTTAAAAATGTCTTGGAATCCGCGAACTGCTTTGGGGGCAATGTATAGTTTTCACATTCAGCCCAGCATGTATGATTAATTCTTCCAGATGCCACTTGAAAAAAATTAAGACTCGTTCTCTTTTTACCCCTGCTTTAAGTGTCGCCATAATTAATAAATAATCAAACAGAAAGGAAGACTAGGGTGTTCATACAATGTACTAGTGGGTAAGGCAAATCCGGTACAGGCTGTGAAGCACACAGGTGTCTTGGCCTCTGTCCCACCTGTGTTCAGGTGTATTTCCTCCTCTTTTCCAGGACACCACACTCGCCAAACTGAAGGTCAGAAGTGGAGACACCTTGGTGGTCACAGAGGGCCGCCTCCCACCGAAGGTAGATAAATTCCCCGGGGAAAATAAGTTCCTCATCTGCCTCACTCTAGCAGCGCTTAGTCCTGTCCTTTTCTAAACGAGTAACACAGGAAGTTGCAGCGCGAGTCAGTGCCGCGTTAAAAGACCTCCCATAAATTATGTTCCTCTCGGTGTTGCGGCATATATTTACATACAGAACCAAAAGGGGGTTTTGTGGCAAAAGACTCATTTAAACATCAACATGAAGTATGAATTCTGATGCCCAGCTATATGAGAATGTAGCTCATACCTTTGTTAGTCTAAATTAGGATTCCAGTACCGTGGTCTGCACTCATCCTGTACTTATTTAGAAGCTGCCTAAGTTTAGACCATAGCCTGGACCGGCTTCCAGATCAAGCTCTGTATACATTTAAATATGACAAGGTTGTCATGCTTTTCTGAATAGGATTCCCCCTGTTAAGGACTGGTTATTCAATGAAGTCAATACACGATCCATTATAGTTAAGAACACCTGAGTGATCAAATGTAAAAGAAAAAAATTGATGGGCCTCTACATGACAAGGAGTTAAGCTTGTGGTTCTGTAAGGCCCTAGTTTTGCTATTATAACATGTTACAATGACCTTTCTGAAAAAGTAATTGAGATGATTCCACAGGAAGATGGAAACCCAATTTCTTTCACAATGAAGCAGTGCCATTTTCTATTTCATGTCCTTGATCTTAGGGAGACGATGGTATTCTTCATTTAAAATCTTGACTGTTTGGAATCTCTCTCTTTTTGACTTACTGCTACAACCCCTGTACTGTGGTTCTGCGCCACCGATCCACCTTTTGACAATGGATACGTTGGGCACTAATTGTGACCAGCATGTTTCTCAGTGGCATCACTGCCAGTTTCCAAGTGCCCCGTAGGTCTTAGTTACCTATGTTCAGTGCCCCAACTATCCAGCTTCAGCATTGCTCAATGATCCGTGCATCACATTTCGGGAAACGCTGAACGCAGCCGGCTAACGAAATAGCCTAGGTGGAATCGGCAATCTGTGGATTGTAGGGCTCGGTCACACCACACTCTGAACAAGAGTGAGCATTCCCAAATCCCTGTCACCTTCTCCTCCTCTCCCATGCTGCAGGGCTTCTTGAGGTTACCGGTCTGGCTGTATGGAGAGCCGAGCATTTCCTTAAGCCAGCAAGACCCTCAGATCAATCATGTTGCGGAGCAAATAGGAGAATTGTCGTTGGGCACTTCCACTGCAGGTAAGAACTCGCTTCAGGAGCTCCTGTTGAAACTTTTAGAACATCTGTATCCTGAAAGTGCTTGTAGCTGTGAGTTAAGTGTTTTTAAATAAGAAAGCAATTTAAATTGTGTTTCCAGGTTGTTATTCATTGAGGATTTTAAGTTACCTTTAAAACCTAGTGGATTGTGGCCTCTAGGAAGAGGAGTGAATAACTATGCTCTTGGGGATCTATGGTGGTCTAATTGAGGAGTGTTGGTCAGAACTGTGATGAGATTTTCTTTGGTCTGTAGACGCATTGGAATTGCATCTTCAGTTTATGGGACTTGTTGAGATCTCAGGAGAAGCCAGCCTGGAAGATCTCAAAATGCAGGTATATCTTACTTTGAAGCTGATGGAGATCTATAGAGGGTACAAGCCTATCAAGTACATCATTAAACAAACAGACCTCACTGTTACTTTGTTTTTTTAATGGCAGTTAGACTTTGCCTTTTGCACACTTTTCAACTTTCCTGGTGGAAAAAAGCACAAAAGAATTGTCTGGTCGGTAGCAAACTATTAATTTGGCATTTAACCAACCTTTTCAAGGTACACACATGATAGAAAACGGCATGCTTGTAGCATCCATTTTATTTTTAGTTTATATGTGGATCCTGTGATGTGTGTGCAAAAACTATTGCAAACCAGTGGCTGAAGTGAAAAAAGTTCCACAAATTGTATTTCCTTGCTTTGTTTGGGTATGTCGCAGGTCATGACCTTGCCAAACTTCCAGAATCTGTGTGTGCCATCGTCCGAATTTCTCCGAGTCTGGGTGCTGGAAGGCAAACGACCAGCCAAGATCCTCAGGGGAAACCAGCAGCCGATCAAGTAAGTGGCGTTTTTCAGGAAACACCTGGATGAGTCAACTACAAGAAAGTCAAAAGATCTAGAAGGGTCGAATGCCCTCCTCTTGTAGTGTTTTTTTGGCTCTTGGTCATGTTATAGTGTGCACACACAACACCGGCCATAGTTTGATTAAAAGACCACATTTTTTTTGTAAAGTTTAATATAGTCTGTACAATGTTGCCAGACGCTACTGTATCGCTTCCTTCTTCGTTTTATTGTTCCAAGCGTGTCACAGCAGTACCGTGGAATGGAGGTGGCACTGAGAAGCAGTGGTTAGGGTTCTAGACTCGGAACTGAAAAGTTCAGATTTGCAGGTTCAAATCCCAGGCAGGGCAGAACTGCTGTTGTACCCTTGAGCAAATACGTCAGCCAGCTTTCTGCAGGAATATCTGCAGATGTCTAAATGGGCACAAATGTGAGTTAATGTGGATGAAAGCATTAGTAATAAGCAAATAAGTTAGTAGTAATAATAATCCATACTATAGTAAAGGCAGAGCACAATAGTCAGATGCTTTTTATTTATGGAAACGGGCAGTTTCCCATCTTCTAATTCTGGTCTCCTAACTGTCCCCCAAGCCTGTCTACACTCTATGGGTGACAGAGCCTTCTCCTGCTATGCCCCCAAGCTCTGGAACACTCTCACCAAGGATATCAGAGAGTCACCTTCTCTAAACTCCTTCAAATCCAGACTCAAAACCTTCTTCTTCAGAAAAGCCTTTACTTAACTGGTTCCATTCTTTATCCCTCCGCTCCTATTTTACTTTGTACCACCATCCATAGTCTCCTCTGTGTATTGTAATTGTGTTTTATCTTGTGTATTCTTTTTATTTATTGTTGTTGTCATTCTGTGAAGCGCTATATAAATAAAGTTTATTATTGTTATCTTATTATCTTCATATTTCTTATTATTATGCTCAGTGCTGCAGGAAGATTGTTTTTCTCTTGAATTAAGGCATCTGGTTTTCATCTGGTGATTTAAATACACATAATTATTGCCCTTATTTAGTTTGATGCCATTTTGCCTAGCAAATATAACTTGCACATTGAAACTTTCAATGCTAGCCTCCTACAGTTCCTGAATTCACTATTTTCCATCTTCAGAGATTGTCCTGTGTTTCAATAACACATCCTGAAATCGTCTTCTGATGTTGCTGTAAGTCACTTATATCCAAATGGAAGATGGCATTCTTTGTTTTCTCATCATCCTCTGGGATACTGGCTGGTCATCCTCATTCCACTTGACCAGCCAGTATCTTAATAAAGTCTTTAAGCTAATTTAGTGCCTTTCTTGTGGTTATATTTTCTTTTTTCCACCAGCAAGATACAATATGAGCCCAAGATGGAACAAAGTACACATAGGTGAATCTAAAACAGCCTTTGATTGAAGGTTTCTTCTCCCTTTTTTTAATTAAACAGCACTTTAAAATTAGGAAGTGGGACTGAAATCTGTGTCCAGCGTCTTTGCAAAGAAGAAAACCTTGGGTAAGTTGTAAACAAAAATTTAAAAAAGCTGCTTTCATTAAACTAAGAGCTATAAAATTGTTGGTCTAGACCCAGGCTTAATATTTGTTATAGAGTATTTGTGTATTTGCACGTACTCAGTATACAAGAATATTAGCACAATTATATTTATGAAATTTTCCTTGAAAACTAACCACTTTTCTAGGTTCTGTTTTTAATCTATCGTGCTGGTAAATACCATTGTTTTGTATGTAAAATTGAGACTTTTAAGATGTCTTCATTTTTATTATGAATAAGACAGCTATTTTTTTAGCTCATGAGAGGCAGCACTATTTTCCACTTTTGGTCCGGATGTTGCAGAGATGTGATCAACACAAAGAATTAAATGCACCTTCTTTTTTCTTTTTTGGCGCACCTGTATTTCACAGGTTACTTGGCCATCTGTGTGTTGCTAGCATAACGCAAAACTAATACTTTATTTAGAATAAAAATCCTGAACACAACAATTACCTGTTAGTGTGTGGTATTGAATAATAGAGCACTGAGTTCGCTTGATGGAAACATTTTTTTTGAAAAACCAAATTAAGCTTTCTCCAATACATGCAGCTTACTTTTATATTATGATCTTTCCTTCATCTTAAGATTTTTCTTAACTGTATCACTAGGAGTGTGTGGTCATGCAGAAGTAAGCTGTTGTAAAATGAGATTCTGGGTGCTCTGGGTTCAATTCCAGACCTGGGGTGCTCTCTGTGTGGAGTTTGCATGTTCATCCCCCATGTTAATGAGGTGTTTTCTCCATGTGCTTTGGTTTTTTTTCCCCCCCAGTCCAAAGACATGCTGGTAGGTTAATTATCATCTGGGAAAATTGGCCCTGGTGTGTGGGTGTGTGTACTGTAGGTCTGCTTCTGTGTCTCTGCCCTGCGATGGGCATGCGTCCAGTCCAGGGTGTACCCTGTCTTGCGCCCATTGCTTGCTAGGAAACCTGTATTGGATAAAGAGGTTTGAACGTGGTTGGATGATACGTGTTTGTTTTGCATAGCATCACAGTTAGGTTGTATTCGTAAAGCCAGTGTTATTAACCAGTGCCCTGTGGTAGTCTTAAGGAGCTGCTTCTGAGAGTGCAAATGGGCGTGCCGGCCCAGCGCCAATACTACCCGGCTGAGGAGCTGGTATGGGACACGGCCAAGGAGTGCACAGCCCGGGCGCTGCGCCAGGCCATTGCCAGCCATTACGCGCTGCCCCTCGACAAGGTGGAAGTGGCCAAATACTTCCCAGACAAGTACGAGTGGATGGTGGTGTCCAGCTGGGTAAGACGAGACCTGCGGTTCTGGTTTCCACTGTAATGCGTCGGTCAACTGCTTTTGTCCCTTACATTGTGAGATTAGGCCAGCCCGCCTTCTCAATATTCTCACATTTAGACTGTGCACGGAAAGCAGATGAGATGCTCCTGAGCCCCTCTGTTAATTCCATATCCATTTGATTCCTTCCATGCATGCAGGCCTGCCTGTCTGTATCTAGTCTGCATGCTCTCCTCCTGTTCCCCCTGGGCTCTCTCTGATGCTCCAGTTTTTTTTTTACACAGACTACATTGTAGTGATGCCCGGGTTGACTCGCACCCATGGGGGCGGGGGTGGGTTTACTCGGGGGGTCGGGCGGGCCCGGGTTCGTTTCTCACAACCGGCGGGTGGGTGCAGGTCCCCCCAAAAAAACACCAAACCGCGCGTCACTATTCCATTTGATTGTATAGCATTACGCAAGGGGGGGGCTTGTTCAGTGTTAGCCTGTGTAGTCCCAGCTGCTCCGGCTGCCTGGGGATGAGCCACAGGTGTGAGGGCTCTTTAAAAGCACACTGGACACCCTCCCCTCCGGGAGGGACGAGCAGGGCACCCCCCAGGAAGGGGAGGAACGTCCACCGGCAGTCCCGGATTGTACTCGGGCGTAAGGCCGCTGTTTTTCCATGGTTTTTCTTTTTTCTTTTTGCCTGTCCCGTCGTGTGTCAGGCTGACCTTTTTCGCACGTCGAGTTTAGATTTTGTGCTGGCCCTGCGCTCCCTGCTCTTCCAGGCTGGAATCCGGTTAAGTCCAGTCTGGTCACCAGTGCGCTAAGCGGTTCTTTTTCCTCCCCAGACTGGACCCCGCAAAATAGGGTAGGCCCAGCCTGGATGTCAGGGTGTACAGTGACGCATTTTTCTTTTTTCTTTTTATAATTGTTTTTGCCCCCTTTTTTGTGTCATTTTCGGGTTCTTGCTAACCTCACACTGAAGCCTCCATCCCCTCAGTCGGGGCATCGACACATACCGGTGCTTTAAAATTGTCTTTTAATGCAGGGGTGCTTCACACATGGTGAGTTTTGGTCCCAGTATTGGCTGGGAGAAATATAACCAAACGGGCCAAGTGACCTTCTCCCATTTGTGATCTTACTGCTGTTCAGTTTTTTTTTTATTTAGACCTTTATTTTCAAAGAGGCTTCAGGTGAGAACGAACAGCCCCCAGCACCCCCTAATCACTGCTCAGCACCGCTGTCGAAACTTTGGGACCTAGGTGACTGGTCTTGAAACTAGAAGAATAAGTCTTAGTAACAGGTTTGGGACAGCTTTGTGCGTCAGTCTGGAGAAGGAAAGCTGCAGAGAATGGGTCAAGATTAGATCTGGCACTGACAAATTAGGGATTTTGAGTAGAACATAAACCCAAATTCACAATAGTCAGATTTTACCCTATAACACTTATAAGAAAAACCCTATTAATCGCTTATGGTAATTCAAGATATTTAAGTATAAAAGTAAATAAGACGACTGTATAGGCTTACTAACTTGCTATCATAGGTGTGCATGACAAATGTTTCACAGAATAAAGCATTTTCTTCATTTTTTTTTTTTCCATTTTCCGGAGCCACCACATTAAGTTGACACTTGATGGGCTGTGAATCGACTGTATTTGTTTTAAACTTGGAAGCACAGACGCAGGACTCCTGTCAGTGACCTCTTTTCCCAGCGTTCAAGTTCCCTTTTCCCAGCCTCAGCTGCTTTTATCTGTGATTCTAACCACCAGCTTCCAGCTTACGTCTGTTAAGTTACTTTGTGAGCTTTTCGATTGACTTTGTGGCTTTTCACATACTGTATTTGAAACTTCCAAAGTTCCAATTTCCTTATTGCACATTCTTTTGTAGCTGTATGGCCAGAAACAATTTCTTTCAATGTATAATGTACAGGTTACCTCTGGGGAAACAAAGGTTTGAAAGCGTTTACAAAGTCCACAGGCTGCACACGCACAGTGGAAAAAATCATGTTGTGCGCCAATCGCCTTTAATTAGGTGCTTGTTTTGTTTTTTTCAGAGCCAGCAGGTATCCAAACGTAAGAAGAAGAAAAAGTTAGAGAATTTGCTGGGGGCACCTTTTCACCTAAAAGATGGGGATGTCATTGGGGTCAAGGTAATGTTCTGTTTGAAATTCAGCCAGAAGCATTATGAATGTGTCCAGGGACAAAGCTATCGGTAATGTAATTTAGCTGTACTAATTTTTATACTTCTATTTTCAGTTCTTTGTTAGAAACTGCAATAGCAATTTTTTTTCTGTTGTCATTCCTGCTCATAACACTTCTTTCTGGCAGCATTGTGGCATGGTTGTTAGCGTTGCTGCCTCACAGTAATGGGCCCTGGGTTTAGTTCTGGATCTGTGGTGCCATGTGCGTGGAGTTTGCATGTTGTCCCCGTGTTTGCATCGGTTTCCTCCAGGTGCTCTGGTTTCCTCCCACAGTCCAAAGACGTGCTGGTGGGTTAACTGGCTCCTGTGAAATTTCCCCCTTGGTGTGTGTGTGCGTGCGTCTGTCGAACCACATGCCCTTAGAAGGAACATTGTCCCACCCAGGGTGTATCCTGCCTTGTGCCCATTGCTTGCTGGGATAGGCTCCGGCTGACTTAGGAGAAATGGTGAGAAAATGGATGGGTGGAAAACCTTTGTTTCTGTTAGTGCAGGGAGAATTCACCTTGTGACCAGTCATCCATTAATTAGCATGATGTCACCTAATTCACATCTTTGTTAGGGAAGTGCAGTAGATCTAGCAATTGCAATAAAGCATTACAATTTAAACAATTCTTCATATTTCTAAGTGTTCTCCAATAACTGTTGATTTTTTAACATTTCTGTTACTTGAACTGCATTGTTTTACCCTAAACATTTTGGGAAATAGTTTTTAAGTGACACATCATTTTAACAGGTTACCTGTGTTTTTTACTTGTGTGCTAACTCCAAAACTTAATTTGTATGTATATTCAAAAATCATGTATGAGGTACAGTATGCTAACTCCAAAACTTAATGAAAGCAAACCTGCTTTACATAATACTTTATATGTATATTCAATAGTTAAGTATTAAGGTTACTTTGAGGTTATTCAACTAAATTGTCTTTTAACTGCTTGAAATTGGCACTTAAAGCAGCCTGATAATGTTTAGTGGAGGCACATTATTGAGCACTTTACAAAATAAAGTTCTATGGCTATGGATCAGGCACCTGTGTTAAAAATCGCCTTGATCATTCCAAGAAAGAGAGTGGTTGCTTAATTTGTATTTTAATATAGGTTTCACATCAGCGGTTCTTTATAATAATTATTTGTTCCTGTTTTTTCTTTAACCTGCATTGACCATCAGGGTGCAGAACAGTAGTTAAAAGTAACAAGTGTCTTTTCACGTAACAGAATCTTCTCATAGACCAGAATAAAGACTTCAGCACGCTTCGAGATGACATTGGGAAGCAGCAGCTCAGGCAGGAAGTGGAAAACAAGAGGAAGTAGGTTATTCAAGCCTGTGATCTCCACTCTTTACATTTTACATTGCTGTCCTTGTTACATTTTAGGGGTTTGTAGCCTGAGATGAAAACATAGCTGTTCCTTCATGATTGATCCTCTCCCATTGTAGTCTTTTGACACTCTAATTTCCAAATATCCAAGTATTCCTCACCGATAACAGGTCCACAATATTTTTTAAGTGATTTGGTGCTCCTAAGCTTTTCTAAACTTCATGCGCTTTTCAAACATGAAGAGGTCATTTAGCCTGTCCAGGCTGTTTGGTAATTGGTAGCTTATCAATCTCTGCATCTCATCCAGGATTTTCAGGAAGGAATCTTGAGTGGCAGTTACCCCACAATATGGCTGGGTAGCTTGTTCCACACTCCCACAACTCTTTGCGTCACGACATGCTTTGTGTTCTCGGTTTTAAATGCACGTCCGCATAGTTTCCACGTGGGCCCTCTTCATTTCAAAGACATCCACTGGGTTGGTTTTATCAGTGCCAATGAGGACCTTGAATAACTGTGCCACATCAGACAGGAGAGATTGGAGGATATGTAGGCAGACTCCCAGTTTGCCCACTGAATGTGTTGAACTGCCTCTTCGCATTTGTAACCTTTCTTATCTTCTTGTAAATGTAAGCTGAGACGATAAAATACTGATTGGAATAATTAAAAAAAATATGAAATGGCACAAATCCTAGAAGAAAGATGCACCAGTCTTTTTTTAGCTCATTGTTATCTCTCTACAGCAGTGGGAAGAGGGTCAGCTTTCAGAACGCAGAGCCTTACCCAGAGAGGAAGCCTTCTGGACGCAACAGGAAGCCCGAAGTTGCCCTTTCCATCAACGTTGGAGTTTTTAGATAGCAGTGACTTCTCATCTGTTAAGGTGTCGACGCATATGATGTGTGTTTGGGTTTTTTTTTTTTTTAAATCTTCCTTTGGTCGCTTTTCCTGTGTCAAGCAACAATATTTTCCACACTCTCCACCTGGTTTGTGCCTGGCTTTGATCGATTGTGCAGTTTCCCCGAAGAGGTGAAATGGCGCCAACCATAGCAGACGTCCAGATGGATTAGCAGAGCGGTTAGTCTTCTAGGTCACCCTAAACCACTTGTGTTTTTAGGTTAAGGACACATGGACGTTATCGATAAGCTGGGCAAGTACATTGTTCATTTGTTCAGTTAAGGGAAATTGGTCTTTAGGGGCTGATGTGTTTAGCTGATCACTATTTCAGATCTTGAGGAACTGATGATTTAATGATTACTAATGAAAATTGCTGCTTTGGGGCTCCCTAGGGCCAGGGTTGGAGACATAAATATAAGCAAGGCCTAACATTTACAGGTAGCAAAAATTGTAAAGGGACATACCTGTTGATGCAGGGACAGTTTAGACTTCAGGACTCTTCTGGTTGGTCACTCAACGACACTTAAGCAGCTTTTAAATGATCTCTGATAACTCCCTGCTCAAACATACTATAACTATGCAATTAAAGTCGTAGTACAATCTGTGGTTATGAAGTGCTATTATAAGTATTTATCATGTGCTTAATTATGCCTAGTGTTAACATGCTGAGCAGTTTTCCAACACAATTTGACAAACAAAAACAAGTAACTGACTGGTTTCCAGGTGCCAGTTAATTTTGTACCCTAATAGTCATTAGAGATCAAACGGCAAAAGTAGCAGTTGATTAATAGGAATTTAGTTTTTTATGTAAAATGTACATACATGTTAACAACAAGAATCAATCATAAACGGTTGGCTTAAAGATACTACAAACAAAATATTTTGTACTTTAATGACAAAATGTAGGTTTGTCACGTACCTCTGTATTATCTGCTTGTATTGAAGCTTAGGGAGTAGGATGGGATGATTTTAAGTTCGTTTTTTTCTTAATGACAATAAATCCCATTTCAGGATACTCTTTGTGGTGTCTGATCATGTTGTAGTAAGGCTTTGTAAAATCATCTTAATGTAGTTGGGCTGGACGTGAGATTGAGGTATCCAGGCACGCCACATCTCCACAGAGCTTTATGGCTGAAAATGTACATTTAATCGCTGCTCAGTCGACAAGCACATGAAGTGAAAGCAACTGTGGTGCTGGTGCAGGAAAAACAGAGCTCTACTATCAAATGTTTGGCTTGAGAAAATCGTAGGAAAAATGGCTATTTTCTTATTTTTTGTACAGATTCTTTCTGTTGTGTAAATAAATGCAGCCTGCTTCAATGTTCTTAAAATGATGTAAAAAATAGATAGAAGAAAGCACAGCTTTGCAGTGGCATCTGGAAGTATGAATTGCCCCGTATTAAACTGCAGTGGCATGCTGATCCAATTGAACATCTCAGGATTTTTCATTTATTTTGTGAAAATCAGGAAAAAAAATTGATTTACTACAGAAATATGGGTTTTGTTAACGTTTGCATATTTGTTTTATGAAAACAAAATTAAAAACCAATCTGACATTTTTGGAAGAGTCTGTGTGAGGGTCACTGTGTTTTTGAAATGTGAAGGTCTTCCCAGCTTGTTTCCAGCATTAACAGAAGCCTGAATCGGGTCTGTGAGAATCGCCAACTCTTCAGAAATAAGCAGTTTGCCATTTCTTTTAATGAACTGGTTTTGGTGATATATTAAACCCACCAACACCAATACACAATCGTTGGAATTCTTTTACATTCCAATGTGTGCAATTTTTAAAGGACTTTAGTTAATGTACAGTAGTTTGAGTTCATTGCACAAAAATCAAAGCAGAAGAAAAGTATGTAAAGGTGTTCCAGTACATTAACACATCATGTTTTATATTTGGAAAAAAACACCTGCTTGATACTGACTAAATTCCATTCTGGAATTGCTCAACATTGCCTATGGAAAATTCTCTCATAATTGATTTAATGACGTAATTTTCCACTTCTTGACCTGCATGGGTGAAGCATAGTTACCATTCTGAAACAGCAGTGCACCAGCCTTGCTTTACAATACATAGACAAGTTAAACAGGTGAGTTTTTGTTGATTTAGTTTCTTTGGCTCTTCCTAGGCATTCCTTAAGGATTATCTAAAATTTGAAACCCACGGGACAAATCTTTCACAATACCTGCTGTCAATTAATGATGCATCTGCCATGATGTGATTCATTCTTACAGCACAGAAGTCCTCGATCTCAGAGCTCTTAAATCACGTTGAAATGTTCTCTGAACTGAAGCTACGAAAGACTCCTTATACAGTACTTGAATTTCTTGTTTCCACCTTCAGCACAGTGAATTTCTGCTTCCCCCTTAGCAGTGTTTACATGCATAATAAATCATAATTAAATCCTTAGTTATTGTACAGCATGTATCCCTGACTTTCACCTGACAGGTATTTGTACTTTAAAATCCGTGTAAAAATAACGGTACAGCTGCAAACAGATTTTATTTCCAAATAGTTTATCTTGAACATGGTGGAATTTCCTGTTTTAACACGCATTCCTAGTACCATGCTAACATGTGTTTTCATGTTTTCTCCATTTCCAAGAATGGTGGTTGATTACATTTTCTTATGAAAGCAGAACAGATTTAGAACAACTGCTGCTATCTCTTAGCCCTCCTGTAAACACACATGATGTTTTAGACTCACCAAATGTAATTTTAAAATAATTTGAAGCATGCATTTCCTGTTATTCAAACTCTTTCTACATTTTGTTTATCTCTAATCAGCCACCAAATTCTGGCTGGTATAGCAGCATATAAAGCAGAGAGTTTCTATTAGCTCTTGAGCCAGTCTGGAGAGGGAGCATATGAGTCCAGTGTTGCAAAGAGCAGAGGCAATCGAGTGAGCAGTGGAGAATTGTGATCTGGTCTGATGAAACAGCTTTCCCTAAATTGTCAACAAAAGGATGAGTGTACAGTGTGGGCGGCACCTCAATTTAATTAACTCTACAACTCTCGGTGCTTAGCTCAAGCAGGAAAGTGTTCTGGTGGCTCTCTAATGTTGTGGGACACATTTTGCTGGCCTGGTTTGGCCACACACACGTTCCCCTTAAAAGGCAAGGCCAATATTAATCAATACTTAATGGTCCTGAATGTTGCGGCATCTCTGTCATGCTAGAGTGAATACATCTGGTCATGGTGAAAAAGGCCATTGATTTTCATTTCAGCTCTCCCATTTCAGTAAAGACCAGAATAAGCCTTGCTTGACTTTTGAGATAGAATGAGATCAGGCTGCAATACCGTAATCCTGCTGTAAAATAGAAAATAAGAGCATTCCAATCCTCTGTTACAGACAAGTAATAATTATAATAATTATAATTAAATAATTGCTTACACTTATATAGCACTTTTCTGGATACTCCATCTGGAGTCCCCATTACCTGTAAAGCGCTTTGAGTGGAGTGTCCAGAAAAGCGCTATATAAGTGTAAGCAATTATTATTATTATTATTATATTTTAATTTAAGTTTTTCATGTCAGACACAGGGAAAGGATTTTCAGAGGCCAAAAAACTTTTTTAGGGATATTACTCCGCCTAACACAACCAAGTAATGGAGAGGTTGAGATCAGTTTAGTTACATTTATTGTATTAGAAAAGAAATTAAGGAAAGGCTAAATTAGTATTTAAATTGTTATCTTTTTAAATTGAATTCAGGGTGCAACACTTAAGATGTCAAAGTGTCATGTGTTTTGCAATTTCATGTTGTAACATATTTTCCTGCTACCATATTTTCTTTTTACTTTTTTGTTCTACTTCCAAGAATGTTTGGACTATGAATGATTCAAATTCCTATATAATCAGATAAGATAATTTAAATACAATGCAATGCAGATGTAAACCTACCACTGTACTTCACTGATACCAGTTTAAGAGGAGATCTGGAAAGTGCCTATTTCATCTCATTTATATATACAAAATGTTATTAAATATTCAACTTAAATATATTTGTCAAGATGTGATATTTAACTGAGTATTTCACTTCTGCTTTTTTTACTGCTAATCATTATGTACAATCTCAATAGCGTTGCCTTGCAGTTCAAGGTTCTTCTTACAAGAAAATAAAAAAATAAAGAAGAAAGGAGACACTTTCAGGTTTCATGATCTGAAATTATTCTTCATGTTCCCTAAGAATGCAACACAAACACAAAGAATATCTTGCGATGTGATATTGCAGTATGTAGTTAAAGGCATATTTTATATTAAAACTGTTTTATGCAGAAGTGAGGCCTCATTGAGATTACTGTACATAATTCTTTTCATCATGCTAAGCAAAATATATTGTTACTCTGGAATAGGTCTATAGAACAGTAAGAAGATACATTCCAGTGCTTAAGGAAAGTTCTGACTGAAGGAACTGACACTTTTAGGTTTTGACTATGAGGGCACTTGATGCAAATATGTAAAATCCTAAAAGACACTGATGCAGTGAACTCAGTGGACTTCTTCAGAATAAACAGAGAAACACAACTTAGTGGAAACTACATGATGTGCATTTAAAACAAATTTCTTTCACCAAAGTGTTTCTGGTAGTGTGGTACAAGCCACCCCAGGCATGTTAGAAGTTGGTACCCTGGTTTCCTTCAAGTAACTGCAGGATTAGATACTTGGCTCAATTAGCTACTAACTGCCAACGGGGCTAGATGTTTGAACAGCCTCCTCTCTTTTATAAATGATCTTCCGTCATCATAATGCTAATAAAACACACTCCACTGCAAGGTTTTGAGAAGGTTATTGAATTGCTGTGTAAATCAGTAATTTCCATTTAAATTGTTGTGTCATGATAGAAATCTTAATCTGGCTAACGGAGAATGTTTATTTTTGGCACACGCTGTAGGTAAACTTTTGATAGGCTGAGCTGTGTAAGAGCGAGTACTGCAAAGGTCAAGGAGTGGTTATTTCCACTCTGAGTGTAAAGAGAACGAAGCAAAAACATTTCTGTCTGAAGAGCCTTAACAACACCCAACCTCTTCTTTTGTTTTTATTTTTCATTGTGGCATCAGCTCTTTTTAAGGTTTGCAATGTAGTTACTGGCACAGTAATCAGAAAGGTCACAATTGAAGTAACGAGAAGCAAATGTTAAACCTTCCGCTCCTTTTTTTCTTAAAGTGCTCCTCACTTTGTGTGCCTGGGATGTCCGGCACATGGAAAAACTTGACATTTTGACAAGTTAAATGCTCCCTATTAGAAAATGAACTCTGCTTTTGAAATCCCAGTAATAGTTTGAAATAATTTTAGTTACCTTCATTTTGTCATGAAAGAAATAAGCAAACCACTGAATTTGCCACTAAATTGTAACATCTATTAACAAATGGTTCAGAGGAATTGCAACAGTAAACAAGAGATATGGAGTAGTCATGTATATTGCAATTTCCTCTTATAACATACTTTCTAACACATTCAAGCACATTTTCACTTTCTTGATCTATTTCCAAGAATAGTAGGACTGAAACTCATAATTCTGTTAGCAGATGTAACAGCAGTAAGATATAATAAGCAGATAAGAGATTTTAAATGCACATTCAAACCTACTGCTATACTTCATAGATTCTCTCATACTGTTGTAAGAGGAAAGCTGGAAACTGCCTGTATCATCTTAAATATATATATAATGTTTTTAAAAAATATAATTGGCAAGAAACGCATCTCACTCTATGTGACAGTTTATTTTCAGTGTGGAATCGGTTCTTTCTAAGGCTCTGTGTGTCCCAATGTAACAAGTCACAGCATAAACTGCGTAACAATGAGTTTGTTTTTAACGGCTTTTCTCACTCTCCTTTAATTTCATAGTCATTTCCCGATGTAACAGACTTTCCAACTAACCAGCTAACATGTTTTTACTGGCTTGCTCCACTTTTAAGAAGAGAGGGTTTGTCTTCTGTTTTGACATGTACAGTAAGTAAATGTCATGGAGTGACAAAAAGTGGGTATACGACAGTGACTTGGGGATTTATTTACATTAAATATGTGTATAATGGCCAGCATTTCTGTCAGAATTTGCTGTGTTTTTTATTTTTGTCTGCTTTCCTCTTTTCTCGAGGTCTTTGAGCCATCCCAGCTCAAAAACGGTAGCAGGTGACAATCGACAAAGACTGAGTGACAAACTATTGGCCTCAATGTCCATGAATTTCCACACAGTAGGCAGCGACACCTCAGATTGTGTGGGGGTGCTGAACAGGCTGGAACCGGACTTGGAACAAGGTCCTCTAAATTGTAACATTAGTTCACAAAAGGAATAATTCTTGGTAAATTCAACACTAAACAAGAGATATCAAGAGGTCATGCCTTTTACAAGTCTCATACGTTTGTGTTTTTACTTTCTTGTTCTGCTTCCAGAGTGACTGGAATTTGCTACACTTCCTGTGTAAGCAAAAAGGATTTTATAAGCAATGTGACACAGATATACAGGTACTGCAGTACTTAACAATTTGATTCATAATGTAAGAGGGACAAAATTGTAAGATGGCCAGCTCAGGGAGAACTGGAGAGTGCTTGTATCACGTTAAATACA